TAGCATTCGACTTTCCATTATAGCATTTACTTTCCAAAAATTACCAAACCATAAAATATCAACATATCAAACCATAATCAATATATCATTATAGCATTCTACTTTCCATTATAACATTTACTTTCCAAAAATTATCAAACTACAAAATATCAACATATCAAATCATAACCAACATATCATTATAGCATTCTACTTTCCATTATAGCATTGTATTTTCCATTATATCATTATACTTTCAGCTTAAACTAACAATTACCTGTGATTGCGGTTGTTCTTGTGTGACTGGTTGTTCGTGATCGTACATGGACACAACAGTTGGGGGTTTACGCCCAGTGCCTCTGATATGTCTGCGTTGAACACCCAATATTCTTTCAAAACAATTTTTTATATCAGTGGGTGTTAGACTGCTTGCTTCAGAAGTAGGTTGGGTTTGTTGGTTGATCTCCTGGAGTAAAACATTCTATATTTCAAAAAATAATAAAAATCATAAAAATTAGATTACTAAATACCCTCTACGATATAAACACTTATATGAAAATAAAAATTAACCACTTACGTATTGTTGCTTGACTGCATGACTATAAAATACCCCTTTGGAATTAGCTTTACGAAAAACTTTAATTCGACTGATATCCTATTTAACATTAAAAATTAGATTACTTATACTTTAAATATATATTTAAATATAGCATAAGTTACTTCTTTGAAACATGCATTGTTGTATGAGCTGGACCTCCCTCTGTTTACAACTACTTGTTTTGCACGGCATTCTGTGTTTGACGCCAAACACCTTAAAAATTCCGGCGTTTGAAAATGTTCGACTATCTTCGCCCAATTTTCATGTGACATACCATTGGAGGGGGGACGGGGTTGTTTAATGCGGTGGCAAAAGGGTAATAGCAGCGGCTCCTTGGAGGGAAGAGTCAACGCGTTTTCTACAAATATTGGATTGAAAACAAATCGGACGGATATGGTTAATTTGATGCATATAGCCGTTTGCGAGCATTACTGACGACACCTTTAGCGGCAACATGTAACGCGTCAGTTACATGTTGCCGCTATAGGTGTCGCCGGTAATGCCAAGATTTCTTGTAGTGAGTAGGCCTCTTAACCTTTAAACTACAACAAAATAAAAAAGCAAGAATCATGCAGACGATGTATACAATTAAATAGCTAATAAATTGAAAAAACTTTATGATTTTGAAAAAATCCTAGCTAATTAAATAGCTAATAAATTGAAAAAACTTTATGATCTTGAAAAAATCCTAGCTAATGATCATGGGAGCGTGGATGGAGAGGTGAAGTGGGCAGCTACACATGACTCAATTTTTTTAAGCCAATTTTTTATTATTATGTTATATATATATATATATATATATATATATATATATATATATATATATAAAATAGCGATAAGCTTCATTTTATCTGGTTCGTCCAAAGCATTGAAGAATATTTAAACCCTTAAAACCGGCCGTGTCATAGTTCCACGGGGCTTGTTGTTCCATATGTTTTTGTCGAACGCAATGGGTAATAGGAAAAAGAGTGCGAGAGAGGGATGGAGCATCCAAGCAACTTAAAAGGGTAAAGTCGGATACATTCGAACGAGGTGGGTTCAAGATTGTCTTCTTGTCGAGTAAAAGACGAATTAAACTTTAAGAGGATTTTTAATGTTTGTTTTTCTAAAAGGTTTTTCCTATTTTTGAAATATTTTAATTAATTGGAAATAATTTTTTTTTAAAGATTACTTCAAATACTTATTAACTATTATATTTTATATCCAATGATATTTAGATATTATAATTTTTTATTACATAATCAATTAATTTTATATAAAAATAAAATCAAATATACTTTATAAAAAATTACATAATTGAAAATTTATTAAAATTTTCAAAATTTAAAAATATCAAATATTATAAACCATTTTGGTTACATAATATTTTATTATTTTTTAATTTTGTAACACCTTCCATTGATGCAACACTTTCCACTGGCGCCACCCTCTGAATCAGTAGGCTTTTCTCATCATTAGTTTTTGCGACCAGATAAATAAAAGCATTATGTTTTTTGATTTTGAGAAAACCACAGCATCAGGTTTGCAATTTCTCGTCATTAAGATCAACTGATAAATCCAACACACGATCAAACCAAAATTTGAACATCACTTGTGTGATGCAAGTCTTCAAGATCACGATCTACCTATAAAAGTTAGAAATAAAGGAAGATATGAGGAAGCGTAGCCATTTGGACCGAACAAAACAGTGGTCGACCATGTATTGTAGGTGTAAATACATTATCCGATATTGTTTTTGCGTGAAGTTTAATGAATACCGAGACATAAGTCGACTGAAAAAGTGTGTGGTGCCTATGAGGTGCAACTACGATGAGTATCGATCAATTGAAGGATCACAAGTTAAGTGCGAGGTACTTAACCCCTTGTTTTTTATTTTATTTTTCTTTTTATAATTAATATCTTTTGTCTCATTTTGACCCTTAAATGGTAGTATTAATCATATAAGAATTGTTGGTTTCTTAGTTGAAACTTGAATTTTTTCCAAACAAAGCCATGATGCTATCTTTTGGAAACATTAAGTTTTGTAAAATTTTTATAATGTTAGACTTAGACTATGGGGCTGTTTGGCAGGATCTGAATTTTTAAGTTCTGAATTTTTAAGATGTCTGAATTTCTAAGAGGGTCTGAATTTTTAAGATCTGAATTTTTTACATGCTGTTTGGTTGGAACCTCTGAATTGTTGTCCTGAATTATAAAATGACCATTTTACCCTTCTTTATTATTATTATTATTTTTAAATTCAATACTTTTGTTACAAAATTATCAAAATAACCGAGTTAAAAACTTCTAAAATAATTATAAAAAATAATAATATAAACAATCTATACAAATCTAAACAATCATTAAAACAAATCTAAACAATCATCAACTATCCTTCAACTTCTTGAAAACACTCAAAACCTGCCATTTACCATCAAAACATAATGAATGATCTTTCCTTGAAAGTAGGATGCTAGAAATGAACATTAAACCCTTGAAATCCATAATGATCTTTTAGCATATATGTTCTTGCAAGTGTTCCGTATTTAGCTGCTCAATCTCAGATTCCTAAGCCATAATATAATCAATCATAAGTTTAAATTTATAAATTCACAACAAACAAAAGAGGAAAAAGAAGCAAACTCATTATCTGCAACCAATTTTGCATTAAATAGCACCAAAAAGAAAAAAAAAAATCCCAGAGCAGATGCTCATAAAATAACAGAATAAAGAACATTTCTCACACCTTTTAAAATTGTCAAACCCAAGCTCCTAATTGCTTCATATTCAGAACAGATGTTCATCAATTCTGTCGACAGCTTTGAGTGCAAAGCATCTGATGGAATTTATGATGAAATTAACAACATTATGTTATTAATGTTATTTACATAATCAATTCAATCAAAGAGAGCACCAAAAATTCAGAAATTTTGAATCCAAAATCAAAATCATGATGTTATTCACATAATCAATAACGCAAGATATCAAAATTTGTTTCAAAACATCTGATTTATAGAGAAACGAACGTCAAACCTGGAAATCGATTGCAGATGTAAAACCTAGAAATTGATTTCTCCAGGGCGGTGGTTGTGGGGAAGACGGAAGCGAACACAACTACGGTGGAAAACGCATCGACTACGGGAGGAGGTTATGGGTCTAGCTTTGCCGACGAAGGAAGGAAGAAACAGAATTCTTAAATCGATTACATAAAATCGATTTTAGGATAAACCTTACCTGATGATGTTATCTTCGACTTTTGACAGAGCTGGATTCAAATGGGATGGCGGCGGTGACCGGATCAGAGGACAGGAGGTGGAGGCGGTGACTGGTTAGTTGCAGGTCGTCGGAGATGGCTTGGAAGAAGCCGTATCGTGAAATAGAAAAGAGGAGGAACATGTCTGGGGTAAAATAGGAACGAGCCTTTCATTTTTCTTTTCAGATACAATCTTATATCTGAAAGATTAAGAGACAATTTAAGATTAAGAGGCAAAAAAATAAGATCCAACCAAACACTCTAAATCTGAACTTTTAAGAGGTTGCCTCTTAATTTTTCAATTAAGAGGCTACCAAACAACCCCTATGTCTCTCAAAACAATAGAAATTAATATTAATCTAGTTAATTTTTAACTAAAAGTTTAAGATCAAAACTTAAATTCAGGATTTTCAAAGGGAGCTATGTTACACTAGCCAAGCTAAAACCACCACGTCCCCCACCAACCCACCCACTACTGCCACTTTCGTAGATTTTGTGTGTTTTACACTTTAATCACAAAGGCTTTAATATATTGAAAGGCTTGTTCCATACAAAAAAAAAATTTAGTTACGTAAGTTCGATTTCTACATATGAAACTGCATAATAATTTACTACTTTATTCTAAAATTGTATTACGATTACCTCCCACACACGCATTAAACCATCCATTGACCAAATTTTTGTGATGAGCGGAGGAAACATACGAACAAAGCCGCCTGGAATCATGAGGTATCGAGTTAGGTTTCCGTCGAGTTCAACCAGGTTTTGGAACATTGGTCAACCACCTCGTAATCGTCTCCTTTTTTTCTCCTAGTTGTCTCTACTCTCAACATGAACGTTGCAAGAAGACAAACCACCTACCATTAATCCTTTCTTCGACCCTGTCCTCCTCACTTGCTCCATTCCTTCTCTCCACCAGCTCGCTTGATTAATTTAGAAGCGTCAATAGATGCTCAGGCGACAACATATAGAACAACAAGTCATCAGCAAAACCACAAGGTCTTTAATTAGGGTTCCTTAGAGATCAATTTAGAAGCACATGATTCTTAGCGTTGGTAGTTGGGATTGGGATTGGAATTGGAATTCCTTGAGTTTTCTTATTCTGGTTCCACAAAACCATCAACGATAGAAGTAGAGCTCTGTTTCGGATAGAAGTGGAGGCGTCAAGAATCAAAGGCTTAGTGCCCGAGGATGTCAGACGCATCTATCAACCGCCTCAAGGCCTTACTCCAACTGGGAGAGCAGACATGTCAACGGTTTACTCTTTCCGAGATTCAAATGGCAACCAACAACTTTGACGAGACTTTAGTCATTGGGCGTGGAGGATTCGGCAATGTGTATAAGTCTCGGATCAAGATAGGGTTAGTAAGGGAAGTTGCAGTTAAAAGGTTGCACTCCATGTTCACCCAAGGGGCCCATGAATTTGAAGCGGAAGTTAAAGTTCTTTCTAAGCTTCGACATGGTAATCTTGTGTCTCTGGTTGGTTATTGCAATGAAGGAAATGAGATGCTCCTTGCTTATGAGTTCATGCCTAATGGGACACTTAAAGATCATCTTCACAAAACTGATTCCAAATTATCTTGGTTACGACGACTTAAGATATGCATAGGCGCCGCTCGTGGATTAGACTATCTTCACACACGCACATCAACCCAAAATGGAGTTATACATCGTGATGTGAAGGCATCCAACATTTTTGTTGGATGCAAACTTTGCAGCTAAAATTTCAGATTTTGGATTGGCCAAAGTTGGTCCAGTAGATCAGACACAAACTTATGTCAGCACCAATGTCAAAGGGACATTTGGCTATATGGACCCGTCCTATTTCCATACTGGAAAATTGACTAGAAAATCTGATGTTTACGCCTTTGGAGTTGTATTGTTTGAGATATTGTCTGGGAGGCAAGCTGTAGATTCAAAGCTTGATGAAGAGCAATGGGGCTTAGCACCGTGGGCCCAAAGCCAAATCAAAGAGGGAAAAGTCAATGAAATTATTGACTCTAGACTGATAAGACAAATCTCAAAAAAATGTTTGAAGCAGTTTGTAAGCATAGCAGGCCATTGTTTACGTACTAAACCAAAAGATAGCCCTACCATGGCTGAGGTTGTCATTAAGCTCAAGTCTATTCTGTCACAGGAAAGGGAAAAAAAAATATCGGTCGTTAGTAAAGAAAAAGTACTTTACAAGGTAAGGGATTTTTTTACTTGCAACTTTGACATGATGTCAGATGGTAGGGTAAGAAGCAAATCTGTGATGTCTGATGTTGCAGTAAGAAGCAAATTTGTGGTCCCTGATGTTACAGGAGGAAGGAAATCTTTGATGTCTGGTGTTGCAGGAGGAAGCAAATCAGTGAAGAAGGATGATAAAGTCCTTAGCAAATCTGATTTTAGTGCTCAAAATATCCGGAAATCTACAACTGGAAGTATCAGAATATTTACGTACGATGAGTTGGTAAGTGCAACAAATGATTTCAAAGACATGGAGGGTTCTCCTACTTCTTATGGATCCATTTACAAAGGTTGGGTTGATGAGAAGTCATATGCTCCTACAGAATCTGGTGTTGGTTTGGCAATATATGTGAGGAAGGAGGAGATTCTAACCTGGAAGGTAATTTCAGTATGTAAAATGATGACGTGGGACTTACTTTGGATAGAAAATTTGATAGACCTTGTATTTTTCATGCTCTTTGACCTTTAATTTTTAGCTTATATATTAAGGCACTGAACTACATTGACAATTTGGTTGGACGTTGTATTTTTCATGCTTTGTTATCTTTTGTAGCTTATATATTAAGGCACTGAACTACATTGACAATTTGGCTAGACCTTGTATTCCTCATGCTTTGTGACTTTTTCTAGCTTATATATTAAGGTACTGAACCACATTGACAATTTGGCTGTGCAGTTGGACTTGAAAATATTAGAATTCAGTCATCCCAATATTACTAAACTTTTGGGATATTGCTTGTCTAATGTAACTATGTTTTGGGTATATGAGCTCATTCCAGGGATATGTTTAGATGATCATCTATTCAAAGGTAAGCTGTAAGCATATCTTCTATTTTTTACTTCTATAGAACCCTTTGGTCTTCCATCTTACAGATTGGATACATGTTAACTATTTTGATACAGCACCAGATAGAACTCCACTTTCTTGGGCTGCACGATTGAAAATAGCACAAGGAGCAGCTAAAGGCCTGTCTTTCTTCCATCAGAGGAATCTTCCAGCTTATAATAGTTTTGATGGCAATCATATATTGGTGGACAGGGTAATGTACACTGCCTTTGACTTGCTTGCATTTTGCATGGAAAAGGTAACATCAATTTTAGTTTTTCGTCTCTTGCATATTTTCAGGATTTTAATGCTCGGCTTTTGGATTATAAAATAGACAATTTACTTGCCCCAACTGGCTGCTCTACTTTCAAAACAGACAAATTGGATGGTATTTTTGGATTTGTGCCTGGAGATGGTATGTTCTTTTGTAATATAAAGTTTTCTGTACATCTACCTCCTTTAATAAACAAAACTTTAAATGCTACATATCTCCTTTCTGGATAGACTAATTGACACGTGGCAATTTTTAAAGAATTCTTAATATTCAGTTTTTTTATTGGTAATTGCTAAAAATCTTTCAAATATCCATTTTTTTTGGTAACATAAATATTTTACAATGGTAAGTATTTATAACATAACTATTCAAAAATGGGAACTATTTATAAGGAATTTTCAATTTTTTTTAAATGGATCTTAATTTCTAAAATACAATTTAAATTTTAGGATGTTAATGTTTTAAAAGACTAATAAAACAGCTTCTAGTTTTATCTAATAGTCATTTATGATATTTTTTTCCATGATAAAATTTTTAATTGTTATTTTTTTTTTTTTTTGTCTATGTAAAATTTTTAGTCATACCAAGCGTGGTTTCTACGGGTTATAATCTATTTTTCAATATATATATATATATATATATATATATATATATATATATATATATATATATATATATATATATATATATATAGGGTTAGGTTCATTTGAGACCACTTATATTTTGTGAGACCGTAAGACGCATTTTTTTATTTTTTTTAGTTAATTCATGTTCCGAAAAAATATTTAAAAAAAGAATTTTTTGATTTTTCCATTTATTTTGCATTTTAAAATTATTTTTAGAATATATACAGTGTAATATTCTATTTAGAATATTTCACGTATTTTTCAAAAAAAATAGAATTTTTTTTTATTTTTTTTAGTTAATTCAAGTTCCGAAAATAATATTTAAAAAAAGAATTTTTAGATTTTTCCATTTTTTTGCATTTTAAAATTATTTTTTAGAATATGTCAGTGTAATATTCTATTTAGAATATTTCAAAAAAAAAAAACGGAATTTTTTTTAAAATTTTTTTATATATTTTTATATTTTTTTTAGTTAATTCAAGTTCCGAAAATAATATTTAAAAAAAGAATTTTTGGATTTTTCCATTTATTTTGCATTTTAAAATTATTTTTAGATTTGGTTTCACGGTTTCACAAAATTAGAATGGTCTCAAATGAACCTGAACCTATATATATATATATATATATATATATATATATATATATATATATATATATATATATATATATATATATATGGGAAAATGTTGAAATACTCCATTGAACTATTGGCCTAGTCTAAGGAGCTGCTTGTTTTTCGGAAACACCTCTTTAGAACTCTTATTGCTGCACGACACAACACACGCTCAACATTTTTCATCTCGCAAATGTTTGTTTATTAAAAGTCTTCGGAGTAAAAAAACTTCAACGCCTGTCTGTTTGGCGCAACATTTGTATCGTCTCTTCCAACCTCTTTTTTTTTTTTTCTTCTTCTTCTTCTTTCATGTTGCTGAAAGACAAAACTGCACAAATGGTCCCTGTGGTTTGCTGAAAATTGCCACTTTGGTCCAAAAATGTTTGGACTAGCACCAGAGGTCCAAACTTTTCATTTTGTTGCGAATTTGGTCCGATTTTGTTTGAAATTTTTATAAAGATGATTTTGCCCCTGATTATTTAATATTTTTAATTTTCTTTTATTACAACAATTAAAAAGAATTAAAATTAAAAGAAAAAAGAAAATATTATCTCTCCCTCTCTCTCTCTCTCTCTCTCTCTCACCCATCTTCTTCTTCTTCCTCAAGAATGCTGAAGAATATCTTCCGCCACTTCCACAATTCGACCGTCGTCCTCCACCACCATTGTTTGATGACCGCCTGCCACAACCACAATTTGTCATATCCATCTCCACCTAAATGAAATCAGATGAACACACACACACAAAATCAGATCAAATGAACACACACACACATAAAAATGAAATCTGATGAGCAAACACAGATCAACACAAACATCCATCGATTTTTCAACAGATACAATACAAACACACACACACACATACAAATTAAACACACACACAAACTCGAACAAGACAAACGAGAGATTAAACACACATACACACACAAACACCACAACAGATCTGAATAGCTAGGGTTTCAAAAAACTAGAAGGACATCAGTTGAGTTTAGCGCCAAACCTTCATCGGTGTAAGATCTGAGAAGGGTTCGTAAAGAAGTTGTAGAGAGAGGCGATTTGAGAATCGAGATCGTCGGGATTGCTTCGAACAAAGATGACGTCGTTTTAGCATCAGAATCTTCCTTCTCTAACCTTCTATCACCCCCAATAAAAAACCCTAGACACACACAGGTAGAGTGCCAATCTCTGCAAATTTGGTCTTTGATTTGGCCTTCTCATCCCCGAGCGATTGTTAGAAGAGAACGGCAGTAGACCACACACCTCCGGTGTTGGTTTGAAACAGGAAGAGGAATCGAAAACAAGGTTCATTTGGGGGTCCCAATGAGGTGCCACGAGCAACAATAATAAAGAAGACGAGGTCCTCGGTGGGTTTTGCTAGACAGGAGAAGAAGAAGAAGAAGAAGAAGAAGAAGAAGAAGAAGAAGCGGGTGTGACGGTTGGTTCGAGAGAGAGGTATGAGAGGCGAGGCTAGAAGGGGATTTCCGGGGAGTGTCGATCGATCACAAGGTTGTATAACCTCTGGTGCTCGTCTGCTTTGGAGAGAGAGAGAGAGAGAGAGAGAGAGAGAGAGAGAGAGAGAGAGAGAGAGAGAGAGAGAGAGAGAGAGAGACAGAGACAGAGTATGTTCTTTTTTCTTTTCTTTTAATTCTTTTTAATTATTGTAATAAAACAAAAATTAAAATATTAAATAATCAGGGGCAAAATCGTCTTTATAAAAAAGTTCAAACCAAATTGGACCAAACTCGCAACAAAATGAAAAGTTTGGACCTCTGGTGCTAGTCCAAACATTTTTGGACCAAAGTGGCAATTTTCAGCAAACCACAGGGACCATTTGTGTAGTTTTGTCTTGCTGAAATCTTATTTCACATTTTTTTTTGTTTTTGTTTTTTTTTGTTTATTCTTGTTGAATGTTTTTTTATTGAGTAATAATAATTTATTGATGAATATCATTATTTTTTGCTAAAATATCTTTATTTTTTATTGAATTATCATTATTTTTTGCTGAAATATCATAAATTCTTGCTAAAATGTCATACATTATTAAATTTTTGGTATTAAAAAACTATTTTCAGTTTATAAAATTAGTTTATTTTAATTTTTTAATATCTGGGACGGCATGCACATGTTAAAAAAACAAATACGCATCTACTGCAGAGGGTTACAGAGGTGGTCCGCACACTTTATGAATTTTTACTTCAGAAAATGAAAAGGTAAAAATATAATGGTTAGGCTGCAAGGGTTGCAATGGTTTAAGTTGTGTGCTTGTTTGCTTACTCTCAACTTTTCATTTTAAATGAAGTTTATAACATTTTTGTTAAAAAAACATTCCTTTAGTGTTCCCTATAGTTTCTTAAGTCCTTTTATAGTACAATTATTTTAACTTACCCCTTTATAAGAGTTTCACTTATACCACCATTTTATATGCATATGTATACATTCATTTTCTGAAAACAAGGGGCAGCTTTTTTTTTCCCTTCCAAAAACAATACCTTTATAAGTATTTTTGAAAAAAAAAAAAAAAAAGGGTGATCCATTGACTAAAATTCTTAATTATTTGTGCAAACATTGTCGACTGACCAATTAAACATCTCTTTGGCAGAATCTGGAGTGCAAAGTGAGATCTATGCTTTTGGAGTGGTACTGCTGAAAATGCTAACAGGGATGAAGAAGTATGATGAAAGGATACCTCTCCAACGGAAAATTTTGATGGAATGGGCTACTCCATTACTAGCGAACGAGGTAAATTTGGGAATGATTATGGATCCTCAACTTCAACATAATGATCATCCTCCAAAGGGAGCATTCAAATTGGCTCAACTTGTTTTAAAGTGTCTTCAACCAACCCGAGGCAAAAATTTATCAATTGAAGAAATCTCTCAAGCCTTGTATCAGTGCTATCAAAAAGAAATCACATCAGTTTGACTCTAAGATATCAAACACAATAATTCTTATGTAAATAAATTTAAGAAAGTAAAGTGTATGTTGCTGCAAATATTAAAAGTGTGAAGACTTGACCTCTCACTCGTTTACTATCTACTTTCATGGGCTAGAGTACTGTCTTCTGTTATAGTTTTTATTAACATTATTCGTTACAGGTAGCCACCCGCTTTCTAATGTGTCACATTTTTTTGTGGGCGTACAATATTATTAACATCCGTACACTATTTCTTACCAATTTAAAACTGAAGCTTTATCTAATGAACGCATGCCTTTATGGGTTTTCCATTATCTTGACACTAGCTTAATTCACAATTCGCCAATATATACCAGTTGTACAATTCGTGAATACTTCCATCTCTTGATGTTGATTCTAGTCCACATGGTTGTCAGATATGTGTATTTATCATTGCTCGGTCAACCCAAATATCATGAAGCTGCAGATAGGAAGTAGATAAGAAACTTCTTAATTGTATTTAATTAATCATGTGTTCGAAACTATAAATGTTGACTTATGGACTAATGTTTTTGGAGAGATGTAACACTTTTGTTACAAAGGAACTTGCAGGCATAAAGTCACACCTCTTCCCCTGAAATTACGAATGTTGGAGATTTCAGGCCATGACAAATCTCTGGTGATAATGTTGTGCATGACATAGCGGCTATGGATTTTCTTTTCATATCTGCAAGGGATTGAAAAGAAAAAAGGGTATGGAAAAACTAGAGGGTATCAAAATTTATGATATCCCTCTGTGTAGTGTGTATTCAAAATAGTGACCAAATGCAAGCTTTTTTTTGAAGAAGAATATTAGTGATGGTAGGAAGTATTAGTTGTCTAAAAACAATAATAGTAGCATGCAAGATGCCAGAGAGAGTTCAAGGACACACCTAGATTAATACTTTTATTACGAACAATGGAAGAAATATCAAGAACATGGTGACAAGGAGGAACTTTAAAGAAGTTATATCGGATGCACTGGCCACTGGTGACTGTTACGATGGAAACCATAATCAAGGTAATAGCTCCAATTATATTAGGTCATGGCCTCACCTACCACACTACTAATAAAAGGATAAAAGGACCCGGTTAAATACTTTATATAACCATGTTCTAGGTGAGTCATATGAATGAAAATCTAATAGTATCCGGTTTACAACTAGGACTTGTTATCTTATTACAGCCCGGTTTCCTTATAAAACCGGGTTTTTTTTTTTTCGTTTGGATACTTTTTAGCTTTAAAATATGATGTTTGAATGGTTGACCATACTTTTACTTTTGGTGGGAAATGAGTTGTTTGTGGTTTTTTTTTTTGCCTTCCTATGTGAGTGATAGATCCTGATACATTCTTGATACATTCTTCAACAGATAATCAAACTATGATAATATTAACATGATAATCCCATTCATTTGATAGGAATTGACTCTCCAAAGAAGAACAAAGTTCTTTACAAATTAATTCTTATATCCTACAAAGGGCTCGCTTTAATGTCTGGAAAGCAGTTTCTTGTTTCTCCTCCCAAATGAAGGTTAAACACTTCTGAGTCATGGTGGTGAGTGGTTTGGCGATTTTGGAGAAGTTTTAAATGAACCTTCAGTAGTAGCCAGCAAGGCCTAGGAATTGGCTTATTTCTGTTGGCGTTCTTGGTGTTGACCAGTTCTTGATTGCCTTGATTTTGGAAGGGTTCATGTGTATTCCTTCTTTGCTGACTACATGACCTAGGAAGTCCACCTTTCGAATCCAAAACTCGCATTTATAAAACTTTGCATACAACTGTAAGGTCCTGAAACGGATCTTTATTAATAATCAAGCAAACAAACATTCAAAATAGAATAAGAATCGAAGTAGAAACAGAATTGAAACAAGCTTGTACACACTTTTATTACTTAAAACGTCTGGTACAACTTGTTCTCTATAGTCGTGAACTCTATGTGGTATCAACAACCAATAATGACCTACACAACCTCTATTTATAGGGACTATGACCGCAAACAGAACATTGGCCAAGTCCCTAATTTAACTAGGAACTAAACTATGCTAGTGTACAAGACTTTAGAAGAGTTTATAGCACCATTTGGCACTATTGTTTGGAGTTCACGGCCCTGGAACTTCTTGGGCCGTGAACACCTTACTCTTTGTGTTCTAATGGTGTTTGCTAGTCCTAAACTCATTAGGGTACATGATTAAATTCAAGCCTAAGCCTTAGGAAGTGTTTGTGGCATCAAAACACCCTTAACTTGAGTTTTCGACCCATAAACCATTTGGTTATGAGTTTGCGGATGTGAACACCCATAGGCGTTGGTATTTTGATTGTTTTGGGTTCTAGACACATCAAGGTAATGTGCTATGCTAGTCTCTTGGCTCAATGAAGGCATTTAGGGCATTTTGGCAACCTAAAATGGAGTTCACGGCCCAAGAACTTCCTTGGCCGTGAACTCACTTTCAACCTTTGATTTTTTAATGATTTTGTGGTCTAAACATGTCCTGGTAGTTCCTAGGTTGAGTTCCAAGGCTTAGAGGGACACTGGGCACTCTTTTGGCCCTTAAAAAGGAGTTTACTCTCCAAGTGTTCTTGGGCGGTAAACTCCCGAATCTTGGGGTTTTGATCCGATTTTGATGTTATAAACTACAATCTAAGCTATATAATATAACTAAATAGAAATACTCACGATTTGGGATAAAAACCCGAAGATCCGTGAGAGAGAATTCGGCTTTTCTCTAGTTGGAAATGCAACTAATGAATGAATATGGTTTAGATTTCTATATATAGTCCTAAGATTTTTGGCAGAAAATATTTTATTCCCGGAATGAACTCTAATATCATTGAGTATTGGAATAACAGTGTTGCACAAAACCCTAGTGCATCCACTCTCCTGATATCTCCTTAAGTGCTAAACCTGAAATACTTAAACTTATACCCAAAGTTTGAAATTTCACTGTAACTGTTCTAACTTCTATTGGCTTGATATGGTTTGTTCAGAATGGAAATTTCGGGTTGTCACATCATCCCCATGTTAAAGGGAATTTCGTCCCAAAATTAGAATTTAGATAAGGAAGTAGGTATGAATGATCGAGTCGTGAGGAGGAAACTTCCTAATCGATTGGTTCTAGCGCTCCTAAGTGAAATCGGGTTCTTGGTTGGTATCCCAACGAACCTTCACTAACTGGCGACGGTGTTGCTTCTTCCGCTTGACCTCTCAGTCGAGGGTCACTACGGTTCTATTACAAAGTCGAGGATCTCGACGAGTGGACTTACAAGAGTCCTACCGGAAAGGTATGATTTCACGATCTAGACACAAAGAGTAGAATGTACGTTACTGAGTTCACGGAGTAGATCTAGTCTGTGAGATACAAGACCGATTCTGGTATGAATCTCCGGGGTCCTATCAATCTTGGATTTAGCTTTCCACGCTTTACAAAGCATATTAAGCCGTTCCCAGAGTGAGACTTCCTAAAGAACTTGGTCTCTAATTTGGAATCTCCAAGGTTTCCTTTTCTTGTTTAACTTCCCAGTCAAGGGCCACTCCTTGCTGGGTCAAGGTCGTATGGTTTCTTGTGATTTGCAAGCGGTTCTGGATGAACTATGACAGTAGGTCTGTAAGACCTAGAATTTAGCGAATGACTATCGGCATCTCTGGTGTTGACAAATTCTCAACGGTTTTGACAAATTGTAAGAGTACTCAAAATTTCCCACATCACTAACAATGTGTCATAGAAATTTGACTCCTCAATTTCAAAACTCGTGCTTAGAGAACTTCGCGAAAAGTACCACTGAAGTTAATGTTTCCATGGGTTCCTTCTTACTACGAGGGTAGATAAGTAAGTGTCACACCCCCAAACCAAGGATGGCGGAAACGTCCGGGGGTGGAGGACTTCATGTATAGTATCATAACAACAAATGCAATAGTGATTTAAGAAAACACAACCAACACATATATAATTGAAGAAGTTATATCACTGTATGAATTACATGTTTCAAAATCAATTACAATATGTTGACAAAATATGAAAAGTTTGACGCCTTAACGTCCCATCCTCAAAAGAACTTGGTTACCTGTTTAGTGATTCCCTGAGAATACAAGTTGTTTGAAAAAGTGTCAACACGAGGGTTGGTGAGTTCGTAAGAGATTTCTTTAGAGAAGTAAACTGTTTTCCTTGTAAAAGCGATAGAATATGTATTCAGAAATCCAATATTTTCTTTAATGTGCGTATGTAGTTCTATATCCCGAGTGATGTGTAGTCTTAAATACCAAGACCGAACGTGTACAGTAATATCCGGACTTATTGATAAAAAAAATGATTTTTAAATCGACATAAACTCCTTTTTATTTTATAAAAGATCCCGTAAACTCTATTTATTGTTAACTCTCTATATGAATCGCTATAACCATACTATGACTAGAGGTAACATGCACAACGTCTTTCAGACGTCCTGATCCTATGACTCTTGTCACCCGCAGACCTGCCGGTCCGGTTGTAGCTAGCAGCGAGGTGTGGGATGTCAACCCCAATATAGATCTATACACAATTATCACGCTCTCCCTACAACAAATGTTTGTTATAACTTACAGGAATTGGGATCCCGTACTCGGACGTACGGGGAGAGATAGTCTCACATTCTGAGTTAACGAGTTTACATGTAGTGTGCGTGAGTGTAGAACCTTTTTGTATGAATGTACCCTTTTTGTACGAGTGTGTTATGTGATGAATCATAAACAATACCTATTATAGTTTATCCAAAACGTTTGTAGTGTATAAGAACTCTTTTATGAAACTGCAATAGTGTTATGAATCCATAAACTATGCTTATTATAGCTTAATATATGTGTTCTAAATGAATGAATAATCTTATAATGAGTGACTAAGTTTCAGTTTATGATGATAAACTAACAAGGAAACACATTCAATATTTAGAACTTATTGTTATACACTTTGCTCAACATAATACAAAGTGTTATGAAATTTATATGCTGTTAACTAACTTTAACCCTTCTGCGTTGTTTTAGAAAAGTCATAGTATGGTTATAGCGATTCATATAGAGAGTTAACAATAAATAGAGTTTACGGGATCTTTTA